TTGCACAGGATGGATTCAAATATTTTTCAAAGATCCCACATGGGATACAACTCACAGATTCAATTCAGACAGGGAAAGCTTGAGCAAACAGGTATTTGTTAACAATGGTATCAGAAATCTAAGCATGCTGTATGATTAATATTATTGCAAAATATTACTTGGAGGAGCAAAAGCAACAAGGAAGCTGAATGGTGCCTCTGAAGCACCAAGACAGCATCAGTGGAAGGTGGTCTGGTGGGAAAGGGTAGCTCACTGAACCATCAACATATTCAGTAAGATTTGCAATTTAACAGTTACAGGTCTTAATACCCATAGCCAAGAAAACGTGGCCCACCTCTTAAGCACAAACCCCAGATATTTAATATGCTACAATGAAGGGTATCTGGATTATAATTTCCAAAAGTAAAGGAGCAATCGCTCACAATATGAAAGACAAAACTAAAACCAGCATTGAACATTTGTTGATTTGACACTATCAGAGATATGCTGCTAAATTGCTTTGGGTTCTTGAACTGGGCCATTGGAGATTTTGAGTTACACAGCAGATGAGAGGTGCCATGAGTATTCCAGGGAAGGCCTTCTCTTCAAACACAAAGTGGGGGGCACACTGGTGGGATGGAAGGGAAATACACCACAGATTCCTCTTGTTTAGCAGCACCTCCTGCACAGGCTGGTACTGCACTATTTGTGCATTTGACACAAGCACCTTATCCTGTGGAATTACTTTTCCAAAGGAACAGGGTGTCAGAAAGCGACCAAACAGCTCCATTAGGCTATAATAGGCTGGAGCTATGAGGCTGGAGTACAAAACAGATGCAACAGCACAGCACCAAAGATTGATGAGCCTTGGCTTTTACCCGTTTTTGCATTATTCTTGACTGCATTCTTCCAGTCTCCTGGATAACTGTGCCGTCTGTGAGCTGCAGCTGGAACGAGCCTGACCCAGGCAGTTGAGACAAGAGATCCTTTGTAGCTCATTGCAGTGATGGTACAGCTGGAACCAATTTCATTAACTAGCAATCAGAGGGGGAAAACACAAGCAATGAGCTATTTTCATTGCAGAAAACAAGGATATTGGATGCTAGCTCTTGAATGTGAGTAGCCATACAAGAGGCAAGCTAAAGCAAATACCCAGAGGAACGTGCACAAAGACTTTAAGCAGAAAGTTTCACCCAAATGTTCCTCCAGGGCCTGTTTCTCATTTGCATGAGACATTTGCMCGGATGCAGCCCTGACTCCCCCAGATCAGAGGAGTGCCTGGGAAGGGAAGTGTTGGTGGATCACACACAGAGAGAGCAGAGCTCCATGGCAGCACATGTGGAAATCTGGGGGAGAGGGAGTGATGCCAGTGACCATCCAGCTCKTGGAGGAATCATTCATTTCCTTAGTTCCCTCCTCAACAGTGCACTCAAGGGCACCTGTGAATAGGTTTTGAACCTCAACTGGTGACTTTTCCCAGMTTAATTCCCATTTTAAATATTATTGACATATGGATGGTAATATTAATAGCTTCCCATCTCCAGCTCAGCTTAACAGATAACCAAAGGATCTGGGGCTTTGAAAGCTTTCCTGAGGACGAAGCCTGCACTCGAATAGTTTCACTGCTGTTGAGTTAGTCTACATTAAAGTCATTTAAATTTTGCCCAGAGTCTTTAATAAGAATTCAAATATAACTGCTGGAGGTTTTAAATATATATTTTGAAAACTGGAGCCATCCAAACTATGCAGGGCAGCACATCTCCTGTGTTTATTTTTATTCCTAATCGAGACTCTGCATCAGCTGTCTTCRTGGTTTGGTAGTGTGAAGTACTGGAAGCCTACCAATATGTATATATATAAAACTTCCTTTTTGGTTTGCAKCAGTAGAAGGACAGATACTTTTTCACTTTGAGTCACTAAAAAGGCACTGTGCAGGCTAATTTAAGACAAATGTGAACACATGATATCTGAACAACGGATGTGAGGCTGTGTTTTAAGGAAGTATGCTGAAAAGGCCTGCATCCTTAGGGGTCTTTGGTTGGAGACAGTGCTGGCAACTACTTGGAGAAAGGATTCTGTTACTGCTGTGGTATTTTGGGCTCCAGACTGCAATGTTTAGAATGTGCTCTGCTCAGACGGTCACGGGAGGAACCCCTCCATCACAGCAACTCACAAATGACTTTGCATTCTTGGTAATGATCACACAACAGAGAGAAAAAGAAGATAAAGGAGGATGGCCTTGCATACACAGACCATGACAGTCTGTGACTGCATTCTCCAGGGTTGTAACCAGAAGTTATAAATTGCTATATTGAATATTTTCACCTCTCATCTATTTGAAATAACAGTGTATACAGCTTTGCAGATGGCCCATTTATTTTGCTGAACTAGAAGCTCAAGGATGCTGTTTAGAAATAACTGGGTACAAGCACAAAAAAGGCCAGGGGAAATTGGCTCTTGATAAAATCGATTGTCAGGTATRGATGAATATCTTTCTTGCAAGGCCACAGCACCTCCTTTCCAAATTAATGAATCTTTTGCCACAAAGGCAGAAACAATATAAGGCACACTTGTTCACAAACTGCCAGAAAGGTTGCAGAATTTTCCAGCAGCACTAGTCCTCAGGCTGCTGTTTGCTTATCAGCACTAGACACTGAGGGGGCTATGGGAGGAARGAAAGGCTGTGTGCAGGTGCAGCCCATGGAGGGCTTTTCTGMCATTCTTCATCTGGAGGTATCCTGTGCCCTGTGCTCAGCCTCTCAGGAGAATTGCAATGTGTAGTTCTGCCTGAGCCTACCCCTGTGCACCCTGTATGTTCTGGGAAGCAAGAAACCCTCTGAAACCAAAGCCATTCTGCTCCATCCCCTGCTCTAAATACCCAAACATACCTGCTCTGCTGCAGCACATGGAGSTTGTGTCAGTGCCAGATCTCTGCAGTGAGGCCCAGTTTAGTCTGGGAGACCTGAATGTGCTGTGCCAAGAGAAACCAGAACCACCATCACCAGAGCACACAACAGATTGGAAAGGGGAGTATTGTTGTCCTCATTTTCCACAGAGTGGGCTGAGATACAGAAACACTTTGGGTGTTGTCTTCGATGAAAGACTAGTGGTTATACACAGAAATAGCTGCTGATCTCAGAATTCTAGGAAGCAGTGATTACATTGTGCTAAAGAAATAAAGAATCCGTAAAGAGTCACACCTGAAGTTGTATTATGTTTTTTTTATTTTTTATTTATTTCTTGCTTTCTGTTCTTTTACTTGGAAGGTTTCTGCTGTCCAGCTAGAGAGGACAGRGTTGGCTGAGGACAAATCATGGGCTGGGGCTGCGAAGGGTGAGCAGCCTAATGACACACAAAACCAATCCTGACTTGAAGACTCTTTGTCCGAATTTCTCTCATAGTGCCAAACAGACCTGAAAAAAACCAATAGAATCAATTCACTAACTAAAGAAGTGCTAAAGCGATAATAAATTCAATTCCAGTATGATTTACCTTGTGCAATATAGATATAGTATATAGGTACTAATGTGAATTTTGGATCACTTGCCTGAATTGCATCTGCAAATCTTTTTGATAGTTGCTAATCTTTGTTACTAAAATCAGTGTGTTGTTTATTTAGSTGTGCAATGAGAAAAAAGAAAAGACTAGAAGAGAGGACACTRAAGTTCTTACTGTAATTGCAAATCCCACCAGTGACTCAGGTTTTAAAAATCTGAAAATGAGTTTCATTTCTGTGTAATAGAAATTAATTTATAAATGGAAGGCAGTAAGCATWCCCATACAATTCTTAGATGATGTGCTTTATTCYCCTTAGGTACTGCTGACCAGATGGRTGGYCAGGATGGGTCTGGGATCCAGGACCATCTCCTGCCCTGCAGCAGGAACAGGTGCTCCTTGGAATGACAGGATATTTCTATCACAGATAGAAATCCAGGAGATAGGCCATCTGCTGTGCTGGCCAATGCTAGCTCCAGCAGGTGTGTGTTTGAACAAATATTTGACATCAACCAGGAAATACAGAGGGGTTTGTGTACATGTCTCTGTGCTAAACTAGTCCTCTACACACAGCAGTGGGAATACAGCAGGGCATGGAATTTGTTTATTCTCTTCACCAGGGCCTGGCTCCAACCAGGCTTTGGCTCAAGAGGCAGCTTTTGAGAGGAGACCTGGATTATTATTGGTGAGGTCACAGGAGAGTCACCCATGTGTGAGGGACWGAAAGGCTGAGRGGAGTGCAGRRGAKSCTKTGGGAGGGCAGGGACAGCACAGGGYTGGTGGGAGGGCTGTGACTGCCAAAAAGCAGCACTTATGCCTGGTGTAGGGCTTCGACCCAGRCTTTGGTGTGGCTGCTGAACACACACAGCTCTGGAGGGCTGAGGATCAGAGACAGTGCCACGTGCACAGTGCCTCAGAATTGTCACAGCAAGAGCAAAACGCTCCCTGCCAGATAGGCGCAGAGCCCACAGTCCCCTGTGGTGTCCCACAAGCCCTGCACCAAGCAGCAGCAATGAGGTGGGTGACACAAGGCTTTAACCACCCCCAGGGCTGCCTGAGCCAGTTCAGCTGATAAAGGACAGAAGCTCATCTTTACCAAGGGCAGAGAGGTTTCCCCCAAATAGTTCTTCATTGTGTCCTCTCAGGACTCCGTCTCAAATCACGCAAACCTCTCTGTCTACAAATAATTATTTCAAAAATAAACCCAGGAAATGAGATAACTCTGCCAAGCACCAAACCCCATAAYTGATTGCATCTAACACCAGTCACTGCATTCCTGTTAACATCCCTGCTGTCCTTTCCTCTTGCACAGGCTGGGTGGCTGCAGACACGGCCTGGATGATGGCAGCCACATGCAGGGAGCTTCGCCTCCTCCTCCTTGTCCAGCCTCTGGCRGCATCTCACAGCTTGGCAACAGTGGAATATGAAGTGCTGCTTCTCCTTACAAACCTCCAGTCCTCGGGTAAGGGTGGCGATTGACTCCACCATTCCTGCTCCAGCTGTGATAAGGGCAGTTCTAAGGAAGCATGGCGAGAAACCTCTGCTCTTGTCACCCTCCCGTTTCCTTGCCCTCCGGAGTTTGGGACCCGATGATCCCGGCCGTGCCAGGCAGTGTCCAACCGGGGCTGACGCTCCCCGTCCTGCCTGGGCTGCAGCAGCGGGACGGGGATGCTGCCGTGCGCTGCCGTCGTGCCGGCGATGCCGCGGCCCCGGGATGCTCCTGGCAGCGCTCGGGATTCCCGACACAGCCGCGGCTGCGGGAAACGCGCGTGTTCTGCGGAAAAAGCCAAGCCCGGGGGGGCGGAGGGGACCCGGCACCGCGCCGCTCGGGGCCGCTCCGAGCGCTCCGAGCCACCCGGTGCCACCGGCTGTCACCGCCGCGGGTGAGCGCGGCTGGGCCGGGCCTGGCCGGGCCACCGCCCCCCGGGCCGGCAGCGGGCGGTGCGGAGGGACCGGCGGCGGCGGCACGATGGTGAGCGGGGCGGCGGGGCGGGGGACAGACAGACTGACAGACAGACAGACAGACAGACAGACAGACAGCTCCTGCCGGGGACCGACTGACAGATAGACAGCTCCTGTGGGGACAGACAGACAGACAGCTGCTGCCGGGGACCGACAGATAGACAGGGAGCTCCTGTCGGGACAGACAGGCGGACAGGTATCTCCTGTCGTGGACAGACAGCTGCGGCCGGGGACGGACGGGGACGCAGACGGGCAGCCCCTGCCGGGACGGACAGACAGACGGGCAGACAGACGGGCAGACAGACGGGCAGACAGACGGGCAGACAGACGGGCAGCCCCTGCCGCTGGCTCGCAGCTGGGCTCTGCTGCCGCCGTGCCGGGTCGGGGTGCTGCCCCGCAGGCTTTGGGGCGCTCGCAGCGCACCGTGCCCGGGCTGCTGCCGCTCTGGGGCTGCTGCCGCTCTGGGGCCGCTGCTTTGGGTTCCCCCGTGCCGGTGCGGGCTCTGTCGGTGCTCACGGTGCTCAGGCAGAGCCGCAGCCGGGGCACAGCCGAGTCACGGCGGATGCAGCAGCCGTGCGTGGCTGCTCTGGCCGCGCTGCAGCGCCCGGCTCCGGCTGCAGCCGCACAGCGCATCCCTGAGCGGCGGGTGATGCCGGGCCCTTCTCTGCAAAACAGCATGGACTGTTTGCTCTCTTCTGGTGGATGCTTGTGAAACGCTGAGGAAAAGGCTGCGCTGTTTACTGAAAGGCATAATGGCTGTCAAACATTATTACTTTCTCTTTAGGCCGTCAAGCATTATTACTTTCTCTTTTGCAATGTAAAATTAGCAGAGGAATCTGAAATATAGAAAGGTGGCATGTTGGGGCAGCATTTGAAAAAACAGTAAGTCTTTTCTATGTTCATAAATTTGCTTTTGCAGTATGGATTTATAAACACGTGCCTGAAGTCTTTGGTGGTTGAAAAGTACGGTGAAGAAACATGGGAAAAATTAAGGTAACGTGTTCCCAATAAATGTAGTGCATCGAAAGAAAACACTCAGGAATTCAGCAGCAGGGGATATAATTTCTCATTGGTAAATGGTAGCTGATGTGTATCTCAAGTAATTATTAGGAATAACTCACAAGGCAAAAGCAAGAGTTTCTTGCCTTGTAACACTTCATCCTCTGATACTAATTTGTCCCAATTARTTTGTCATATAAGATAATTAAAGATGACTTTTACTCTTATAGACAATTTTGCAATAGACTTGCTGTCTCACTGTGACAATATCGAGAAGTAATTACACTGAAAAGATGTCATCCTTAATATAAAGACAATTTAATTCCAGTACTCTCAGAAAAGCAGCTGAATCATAGAATCATAGATCATCCCGTTCCAAACCCCCTGCCACGAGCAGGGAGCTTTCCACTGGATCAGGTGGCCCAAAGCCCCATTCAATCTGGCCTTGTATCCTCTCTGGTTTGTCTTGTCTTTATGAGCTATATGGTATTTCCGAGATACAGAAATGATCCTGAGATGCATACGTATATTATCTGTTGAAGCCAAAACAAACAAACAAAAAAAATGASRTTTGTGGAGCCCCAAGWGCTTGATRTTGTGGCTGCAYTGAATGATARGCCAGTAGATYGGAAGACAAACCAACACTCYACTTGCTCCAGCAGCCCACAGTATGATGTCCTAATCCTTGAAAGAGTTTACTGTAACACCATAATGTGAAATAGCAGAAAAAGAGAGGTGGACATCACCATTCATCCATGTTAAAGTAATTTAATATTAAACTCACATCATTAGGTGAAGTAGTGTGCTCCATTATAATGCCAGTGGGGTCACCCAAGCATGTTGTATTTACAGCACTGCTGACACAAGAATATTGTCCTCTCTGTTGTAGGCTGCAGGCTGGAGTCCAGGATTCTTTCTTGACTTTTGAGGTTTACAAAGATGAGATCACAATGCAGCTCGTGGACAAAGCCTGCAAAGTATTAGGTATGTGTTAGCATGTCTCAAAAATGAACCATCCTGGCCCAAGCCTGAGACTTTGGCCCAGGTTTTATCTTCTGTGCCTTTGGAAATGCCTTCCCCCTGAATTTTCTGCCTTCACTCTTAATCCACCTGACGGCATTGCAAGAACTTCCAAACCTTTCTTATTCCATAAGGTATCTTTATTTTGCCAGGTGTTCCTGCTGACATGGTTCTGAGGGAGTTTGGAAAGTATTTCTTTGAATTCTGTAAACGCTCAGGCTATGACCACATGCTGAGGACACTGGGTGGAAATCTCTATGAATTCATAGAGAACCTGGATGCACTGCACAGCTACCTGTCCCTTTCCTACCAGGCAAGTCCGAGTAGTAACTGCTGAGCAGGTATGGATGGACTCTGCCAGAGTTCATAACACAAGGAACAGCATCTCACAGGTGGGAATCAATAATGAAAAAAATCACCAAAGCATGTTCTCCTATGTTCTGAAACAGATTACTCCAAAATGTTAGAACAATTTCCAGAAATTATTTGCTTTGACTAGTCCTCAATATTAGGTATTATTTAGTACATTGGCTTTAATGCATAGCAGATTTTTCTTCACAGGTGAGAATATTAATTTTCTGGTTTCCAGCTCATTTATATTACTGTTTATGTTATTAAGGCATGAAATGCTTTTGTACAATTGGAATTCATCAGTAGTCTTTTTCAGAAAAAGATACTAAGGTTTTGGTTTTGTTTGYTTTTTCCTCAGGAGATGAATGCACCATCTTTTAGAGTAGAAAAAAATGAAGATGGGTCAATGCATTTACATTATTACTCAGACAGAAGAGGTCTGTGCCATATTGTGCCAGGTAATGAGACAAAATGCAGAGTACAGATCAATRCAATATATATACAGAGTAATCATATATTTGCAGACACACTCAGAGTTCAGTATTTTTTTTCACATGAGGGCTGGCCATGGAATTGAAGCCAGGTAAAGTTCAGTCTTTTATCTCTCCTGAGCATTTGATGTCATTGTCCAGTATTTTGCCTAATGCCTAATCAGAAATGAGAGAACTGATTGTGCATCTGCATGAAGGATATTTCCCTCCTTTCAAAATATAATATTGTTCAATGACTGCAATAGATGGTATACCAGAATCTCTTTAGACTCCCTGCACTTTTTGGGTTAATGGGAATTGATATGATTTCTCGATGGCTACCTGAACACATTCTTCAGATATCCTGCTGAGCTGCTCCTTGTGAAAATAAGCATTTGTCCTCAGCCAAGGCAAAAGCAGAGTAACGTTAAAGCTGACCTCCTATGTGCATATTCGCATCGTGGCAACGGTAGCAAGAATGACATGGGTTGCTTTCTTCCAGAGTCCTTCAGAAAAGTGATTTCTGAAACAGTGAAATTYCACTGTGGGCCCTCTAAAAGGGGAATTGAAAAGGTTTTGTTCTTGGCAATACCTTGTCCTTTGTTTCCCCTTCAGGAATCATCGGCGCAGCAGCMCTGGATTTTTTTAACATTGAGATTTCAATGAAAATAGTCAATCAAACAGAAGAAGAAGAAAGAACTGGGAAAAAAGAACATATTGTTTTTCTTGTCACTCAAAACCCTTTATTCCCATGCAAGGAAAGAAATGAATTTTCTTCCTCATCTCAATGTCTTGTTGACTCTGAAAAACAAATTGAGAACCAGCTGAATAGAGAGGTATTTTAATATTCATTATCACCATATGATTGAAATATATTTAAAACAAAAACACCCTTGAATTTTCCTTCCCTCTGAATTTATTTCGACAGGACCTTGAAAAAGCCAAGAATACAAATGGAGACAAAGGAAACTCTGTTTGTCCTGTTAAGAAAAGTCACTGGAAAACATTAAGAGGAATAATCACATTAGGAAAAGGTGAGAGATTGTTCAGAGGGAGCTTGCCATCATTTCTGAGTCTCTTCAGTAAGGAAGTCAGCAAGCCTCCTTATCCCCACCCACCCATCCTTTCTGAAGATACCATTTATATTTCCTCTGCAACTTTTCAAAATGTTTCTGGTTAAGTTTCTTCCAGTTTGACACTGATGATCAAAGAGAAATTGCAGATAATAAGCATGCTTAGTAATGACAGACACTTAAATGGAATATGACCTGTCACTTTTGTCTCTTAAACAGGGCTTTCATCTGAAAAGTGTTCTACTATAAAATGTTATTGTGTGGTGAATTGGATTCTTCATTCTCATGTCACTTGGTTTAAGATGCTGAATTTGAAAGCATGTTTTTTTAACTTGTTAGATACTACTCCTTTCCAAAATTATCAGCTGTAGTAAATTCAGAAAGCCAAATTACATCCTCCACTACCAAGTCTTTTGCTAATCTAGTACCTCCACAGTACCTCTGTATATTAGATATTTTCATGTATTTATACAATGGAAGGAATTTTTCAGTAATGATCTTTCAATTCCCCAAAAGGAATGAGAATCTAGCTCACTGTTGCCAAGATGTCTGCATTCTGGGATGAGTGAAAAATTGAACCTGGTATCACCTGGTGCAGTGTCATATGCATTACAAGGGTAGATATATTGAGTAAGAAATTAATATATATTTAAAATAAAATTTTAGCATAGCATTATTAATTAAAAAAATTCTTTAGCTRTAAGTGTGAGTTATCAAGAGCCAGACTTTGATAAATTGAAAACCCACACTGACTTCCCCTGAAGCAGTAAGATGTCTAAAAGCTATGTTCTAAATTTGTAATTTGTACCAGTCTCCTGAGTGACTTGAATGTTTGTTGTCAGCAGAAGTTACTGGAGTAAGTCTCATAGCCACCTTCAGGGGGAAAGAGATCACTGGAAGTAATCATCCTTTTGAATTTGTGGRTTACTGGGAATCCAAGTTTATATGGTGAAGATTGAAGGCTTTGGGTGCTTCATTCAAAAGATGAGATCTTTTGATTGTTTTACCCGTTGCATTCCTTTTACAAAAATACCTGTTAGTGAGCACAACCTACTCTGTAGATTTGTGATCATTTTGTAAAAAACTCTCAGTGTCAGTAAAATAGAAAGCAATCAGCAGTTTGGGTTTGGTCTCTGGTGCCATGGTCATTGTATGTATAGTTCATTGTATGGGAGACTRAAGCCCAGCTCATGCTGTTTGTTTCCTCTAAGTGTTCCTTAGTAGCTGGCAAAGCATATTAAATCCACATCTGTGCACAGTTTTTTCTGGCTGGAGCTGTGTTATATTGCTATGGCATCTGCAAATTCATARAGGAGCAACCTACACTTGTTCATCTATTCTGATTTTTTTTCCACATAATTTCATGCATCTAGCACTCTGTGGTTTTTGTGTGCTTGAGTTTTAAAGACTCAGCCAACTCAGATTAGTTGCTAATCAGCTGTGGATTACACTGCAGTGTTTAGCACAGATGTGAGCACATTTCTGGGCCCACACACTGATTGCTTTGCCTTTACTCATTACAATATCAGTGAAGGGTCATRTCTCTCTGAGTCATTAAAAGTAATGCTGAGTGGTTTTATGAGGCACAGCCTGATTTAAAAACTACACATTTATCTCACCACAGGTAAGCTCCTGAGAGGATTTGATCCTGTTTATCCCAAGAGCCTCTGGATTGACACAAAAACRTTTTGCAATGGACTTCCTTTTCATATGGTTTTTGACAAAGAGGTAGGACAAGCATGTGTTCAGGAATGTTGTTTTAAGAGCTCCCATATGGTCAGCAGACTAAAGGAGAATAACTAAATCTTTACACACGCTTAAGAAAAAGCAACCCATGGCATCTGTTAGAAAATTAATATTTCCCAAGGTGTTTTATGCCACAGTTATTTTCATTTTGGATCACAAGACACTCTGCTGTCTCTAATTTTCTCCTGCAGCCACCTTTGAGGCTGTTCTTTAGGCCTACACAAATGCAAGCAGGGATAACAGCAGGTAGTTTTGGATTCTTTCCACAACTGATAAGAAGGAACATTTTAGTAACAACATTCCTTCCTTGGAGCTTTGTCTTATGAAAGGTGTGCATTCAAAGCTGTGTAGTACTGCACTAAGAAGGAAGAAATTTTGCTCAGAAATAAGCTGTGTACTACAGCAAGGCTAAGTCTGTGGAAGTGTATAAACAGTGATGAGCTTGGTCTGAGCCCAAAGGGACATGAATTATAACACATGGTCCATATTTTCTATTTAAGCTCAAAGTGAAGCAAGCTGGGGTGAGCATTCAGAAGATCGTACCTGGCCTTCAGACCATGGGCATCTCCTTGGATCAGTACTTCAGGATCATTCACCCAGAAGTGCCCTTCACCATCTCCAGCATTCAGAAATTCATCAACAGCCAGTTTGTTTTCCAGACCARAAGAGAGATGATGCCTGAGTCCTGGAAAGAACGGCCGATGCTAGAGCTGAGAGGTACTTCACGTTCTCAGCAGCACAAATGCTCATATTAAACCAGGAATTAGGCTGAGGTGCACTCCTGACCTCACATAAGTCCCATAAATAGCCTTTGGGCACTGAGGAGATTAGGTGGCTGTTTAGAGAAACAGTAGATGCTTGTACACAAATTCTGCTATCACCTCACCAGATTTTGAAGGCTTTCGGTCAGAAACAACAGCTCTGCTCCTGTTGGAAAGGGTCAGAAATACAGTGGTTTTCTAATGCTGCAAAACCCACATGTGAATACATGATTTTTTCTTAATTTATACCTTTGAGGGGAGTTACTTGCTACTGGCTGGGTTTCAAATGTGATTAAAAATAGATTAGTTCTCTGCGCTTTTATTTTTTTGTAGCACATTTTCAGATTCTGATTTCTGTCTTCACACGCCCCCCCAAAGTCACATAAGAGTTTACCAGTTAAAAATATCTCAGCAAAAAAGATACTGAATTTGCTTTATTTTTACTGAGAGGACTGAATATGGGATGATCCTCTGCTTGGTGTAATTAACTATAATGACATTTGGTTTAAGYGTTCTGTGACTTCAGTTTTGCTTTTCTGAGCTACGTAATGTGACCTAATTTTCTCTTGTCTCCTTTTCACCTTTRTGTAATGAGTGTCAAATCTTGTATTCCTGAGAATCAGAAAACAATTAAGAGTTTAGGGAGACTTTGGAAAAAGCARTGCTACCAAAACAAAGAATTTTGACTTGTCATGGTTATAACTGTAGTTTCTATTACACTCTAGGGGTTAATTCACATAGTATTTCTGATGTTTCAATTCTCTTAGTTTTAAAGCTGTGCATCCAGTGGCCCTGGGGATGAGGTGAGGGAGAAAGAAAAAAATAGGAATTCCTAGATTGCTGTTTAGAAACCAATGATATTTACGAAGCAAGTCAATAATAATAATATAAAAATATTTTAAAATAAGAATCATTATCAAACCTCAACCAAAACTGAAAAAACTGAATTCCCCACTAAAAATCCCTTTTGCTTTTCAGGCATTTTTGTAACTGCTTATTTAGGTTGTGATAGTGACTGAAAGCTACTGTTTCCAGGAAGGAAAGTGCCATTGACTTTACTAGGGCACAAACTGGGCACAAAACTTCAAATGTTTTGTTTAAGCACTGTGAGCCTCACTTCCCCTGTGCATGATTCTGGATGACTGGATGTTCCTGGCTTCAGGAACAGCTCAAGAACTAGGAGGAGAGAGGGGAAAATGGGGAGGGGAGCAAAAAGGAGAGGAGAGATGTGAACACTGGAATTCTTTAGAGGAGGAGGGTTTTGAATCACAGTCAGGCTCTGCCCAGCACCTGCAGCGAGTGTGTGACTGCTCCCRGGGTCCTGACATTTTGTTATGTGCTTAGTGTGGCTTCTCAGACCAATTTCACCTTTAATTCAGTGGAAACAAATTCCCGTGATCATCCAGACCCTACAGAAACCCACTATCCTTAGAACTCATCCCCTAAAATTAACACCAGTAACGCTGAGCACTTTCAGTGCTGCAAGCCCTTAGCAAGCGTTGCTCCAYGCAGGCCAGATGATGTGGATGGAGTCCCTGCAGTGCATGCTGTACCTCTGCTCCCCTCTGCTGCGCTCTCTGCACGAGCTGGAGGAGCGGCAGATGCACATCGCCGACATCGCCCCGCACGATGTCACCAGGGACCTGATTCTGCTCAACCAGCAGCGCCTGGCCGAGATGGAGCTCTCCAACCAGCTGGAGAGGAAGAAGGAGGAGCTGCGGATCCTCTCCAAGCACCTGGAGGAGGAGAAGAAGAAGACTGAAGCTCTGCTCTATGCCATGCTTCCCCAGCACGTGGCCAACCAGCTGAAAGAGGGGAAGCGAGTTGAGGCAGGTGAATGAACGGGGGGCRTTTGTGATGTGTGATTTGTGCACCAGGAGATGGTGACAGAGACACTGGGGTGCTGGCACAGCTATTTTGTGACRATTTCGGGTATGAAGATGGCCACAGACCCTTTATCATCTCATTGATAATAAAAATGAGGTATTGTTTCAAAGAAATGTTTGGAAGCTGTTTGCCAGAATTGCTCCTTAGGTGGCAAAAAGTAATAGTAGCTGCCCATTCAGTGAACAAAATGCAGTGTTTCAACAGTAATCTGAGATTTTTGTTTAACATGGGTATACAGGAGAACAAGGGCTCAGAAGTGAAGGGAATAAGCAAGGTGGCATTTGCTAGAAAATTCTCTGAGTATGTGTCTGCTCTGTATAAACATAGAATCATGATGATTCCCATTGTTATTAAGGGTAGCAATAAAATGCCTAAATTCCCTTTMGTAAGCACACACATGGAAGTAGGGATAATGAGCTGAGTGTATATGATATATTCAGCTGTCTGGGTTGTTTGGGATGTGCAGTGATTCTTACATTTGCTACCCTTGTATCAACACATCTCCTCCATCTCAGCACCCATTTAGGAGTGTTACAGTGAGAGGTCATAGAATGATCCTTTCAAACAAGTCTCAAACAGACACCATGATTGTGCAGCCATTACAAATGCTTGCCTCTGCTCTTTCTGCCCCCAGGAGAGTTCAAGGAGTGCACCATACTGTTCAGTGATGTGGTGACCTTTACCAACATTTGTGCCCAGTGTGAGCCTATTCAGATCGTTCTCATGTTAAACTCGATGTACCTGAGATTTGACAGACTGACCACAGTGCATGACGTGTACAAGGTAGGTACTGATTGAAAAAGATTGCAGAATTTTTTTGTTGTTGTTTTTTGTTTTGTTTTGTTTTTAAATGTACTTAAATCCTCTTCACCACAGCATGATTTTTTTTATAAACAATAAAATATTACCTATTTGTAGTGGCCACACAAATTGAAAAACAGGGAGAAGTGTGATTAAATATCATCTGTTTAAGATTTTTGAACAGGAATGCAACTTCTATCATAGGCTGAAGCCTCTTTCCACAGTGCTAATACCAGAATGGCTGTTCTTTCATACATATCTCTCTCTCCCTTTTCTCAAATGCCTATGCAACATGAATAATTCTCCTAGTTACTTTATTTGAACTTGTTGTAAATAGGTCACTATGTCATTAAGTGTCTCTTTTGGTGGGAAATAGCATTATAAGCAACACCCAGGTAATACTTAGGCTTTATTTTATTTCGTAGAGATCTTCAGCAGTGGTGTCAATCTCCTACTGACCCCCAAAGAGCATCAATTAGACCTAGACTGTGATGTACATTTGGTCTCCAAACTGTGCTGGAAAGATCAGAGCCCTGGCTGGCCTATAATAACCGTGTTATTAACATCTCCAGATTTACCACATTTGATGTGCTGAAGAGCAGCTCCTAAGTTTCTGTCTGTCCCAGCTCATTAAATATTTAGGAAGGCAGAAATAGTAAAGGGTGAAATCCAAATCTCATTCACTCCTTGCTCAGGCAAGGCATGCAGTTCATCCCACAATAAATTGTACTGGGGAATCAGAAGCATTTCTTCCTTGGYAAGGAATCTGTATTCAATAATTGAAGCGCCCAGGATATGGCCCACAAATTTTAGGATAAATTAACATCATATTCTATCTAAATCATCCATCGTGAGCAAATGATCTGTCACTATAATAATCTCCTTTTGATGCCTGTATATAACTCCCATTAATATTGAAGGAGGTTACTGGGGTACAGAGAGCAAGGATGAGAAGAAATGAAATAGTGACATTGATCAAAGAAACTTGGCCCAAGCTTATAAACATCTAAAATTATGAATAAATCTTCTTAAATTAAATCTTCTACTATGTCTGAAAAATAATTAGGGTATCTAGTTGCATTASTAGCTTTTTGCAGTAGTTTTTAATTTGTTACAGAAAATTACTGGCATTGCTGTGGGTTTGGCTGTCTGATAGAAGGCAYGGACAGGAACACATTCTTTGAGATTGATGTGCTGAACAGTTTTAAGTCATTATGTTAATGAACAAACCCCAACAGTAAATTATTTCCGCTCTCCTATTGGGTGTTAATTTTTAAGAAAGCAAATCAATCTAATCTAAAAGATCTCTTGTTTACTGATGATAAACAGGCCAGTGGAGTCTTGTCAGAGCAGTTTAGAAAATTTCCTTACCCTGTAACAGGATTTTACAGTGGATTTTAAACATTTGAGAATTCTCTTTTGCTAACAGGTCTGTTCTATTCCCAGCAAAATTTCTGGTACAGGAATCAATTCCAACGTGTTTCTCAGTACTTTGTCATGCATTTTGAGGAGACTGGGTATCTGAAGGAGGATGAACCCTTCAGCACTGGTCTCACAGGCTGCAGCTGTTGTGGGAAAACAGCTATTTGTAGGGGAAGGATGCTCCCAAATTGCTCATGCTGTGTTCTGTGATATCCTGGAGACTGGAGGTTCCTTAATTTCATGCAAACCCCTTAATCATATTCATCACTGAATAGGCTCCCTTGCTTCATTGTGACTTTTTAAAAAAATAAATCTCTCTTAAATAAGAAATAGCACCAAAATTTTAGCACCAATTGTGAATTRGAGCTAATTAATAACACTCATCCATCAGGTAACCTCCTGGCTCAGGAGTCTGTTCCTGGGGGTAGCTCTTTGCACAGAGCTCTGCCCTGGGTAAGAGGGAGGCAAACAGTCTGACAATTGCACAGCAGCCCTTGGTCCTCAGGGTGTCACACTGATATCTAAAGTGGGTCAAGTGAGCAGGGTCAGAATGTGCTGGAATTTTTGGTGTGGGTGAAGGAAAGGATCTCCATCTCAGGGAAGCTCACATGTGTGTTAAAGCTTTTCAGAGATTGGAGGTGTCTTTAAGAGAAAGAGGCAGCAGGTGCAGATAAGAACAGAAACACTGACCTGAGTGAGATGTCCCTGGCACACTGATGAGCTTGTCTCTCTCTCAATTACAGGTGGAGACAATTGGAGATGCCTACATGGTGGTAGGAGGGGTCCCTGTGCCGGTCCCCACTCACGCTGAGCGAGTTGCTAATTTTGCCCTGGGGATGATCATGGCAGCCAAAGGAGTGCAGAACCCGGTGTCTGGAAATCCTATCCAGGTAAGCTGTGCATGCAGAGCTGCATGTGTGTCTGTCTGCTTGTGCTGGGCTCCTGATTRATGGATCACAGCTCAGAGAGCTCAGTCTGACTCCTCTGTGCCTTCGGGCATGCTTTTCCTGAAGAGCCTCTCCCTGTGGATATTTGATATCAAACTGGTGTCCAGTGTTGTGTTGACATGAACTGGATAGCAATGAGGAAGATGTTAAATAACAAGTGACATTTCTGGGGGGTGTTTTATGTCTCTGTAAAGATTCGAGTTGGGATCCATACAGGTCCTGTCCTGGCTGGGGTTGTTGGAGAAAAGATGCCTCGTTACTGTTTGTTTGGAGACACGGTGAACATCGCYTCCCGCATGGAGAGCCACGGCGTCCCGAGCAAAATTCACCTCAGCTCCAGCTCCTACCAGTGAGTAACTGGGATGGAAACCTTTCCCAACCTGTGCTAAAATCCACTGCCTTGGCAGCTGCACCCTTCAGTGGAGATGGTGCTTACTCACTCRTTTAAGCRGCTTGTAAAGGAAAATCRCTGCYTGTAAAGGGGTTTGTTTTTAATCACTGCTTGTAAAGGGGTTTGYTTTTTCTAATTATTCSRAATGTACTTATATATASAAACAGARGTTTGAGAGTCTCCGTCCTAAACAGCAAAATATTAAAAAGAAAATCMTTGTGATAGCTTATTTAGAAGTTCTGATAAATTGATGTAGATGCTAGAAAKACAGAATATTAAGAACATTTAATGACAAAACTTTTAAGATCTCTCTGACTGAGCACATAAAYTAGTAGTGAAACAGTTTTATTTACACTTACTAAGGATTAACTGAATAAACAGCTATCCTCTTCATGCTGTGAGTAATTTACTTTCCAGAAACTCGTTAATAAAAAATTAATACTCCATTTTCAAGGATTTATGTAAGCATAAAATCTGCRTGCAAGAGTGGAAACAAAGACAATGTACAAAGGAAGGAGTAAAACAACACTGTCTGGGCRCTTTGGAATGATGTTGGGAAAATGAGAGCTCAGCTGGCATTGAAAGGGGCTGCAGAGCTCAAAGGCAGTCAGAGGAGGTTCTGCTGTGTTAGAATATAAARGGAGCATGGGGTGGCAGGTGATTTAGTGACAGCACTGAGGAAAGGCTGAGTCTCTCAAGGCCTCTCTTGCCTCGCTCTCCGCTGATGAGATCTTCAAGGTCCCTGCACCAAGGGTCAGGGTTTGAGGAATGGGGGAGCTGTGAGTGTTGGAAGAGGATCCGAGCAGGGATCTTTTGAGACACCTCAATGTACAGAATGTATGGGAGCAGAAGGGATCTGAGGTGATGAGCTCCTGATGGCCCTGCAGGGCTGCTCCTGGCAGCTTTGGGAGGCAGGACTGTCACACCGCAGCAGCTGAGGAAAGCTGGATGCTGCAGTTCTATTGAAAATGGCAAAGGGGACAGGGGGAAACTGTAGGCTGATCAGCCTCATGGCAGTCCCACTGGAAATCAAATGGCCATTTYTGGACACATGGAAAAGGCAGTTGGCAATAGCAAGACTGAATGTAAAATAAATTAGTAAGTCATGCTTGATGGACCTGATTGCCTTCTCTGATGAAATGACTGGGATAATTCTGTTYAGCTGATATTGGCTGCCTCACTTCTGAATTTCTATTTACTGGTCAATAAGAGCCCTCCACACTACTGAAGTATTTGACTATGTGATCCATTAATTTTTTGATCAGGCTGTAAGTGTAAAATTATGAAAGCACATCTGGCTTGAACAAACAGTTGAAACAAATCCTGTTCATGAATTGAGAATTTTCCCCCAATTGTTGTGATTTGATCACTCAGCTCTTTTAAAACATCGGTGTCATTTTTACTTGTCTTGAATTTTCATGTGTCATTTTGCTTCYGATACTTTAGGTGCCTAAAATACAAGAATTTTGAGATTACTGAAAGAGGAGAAATAGAAGTAAAAGGCAAAGGGAAAATGCACACATACTTCCTCATCAGAAATAAATCTGCAACTGACAGTGAGATTATGGGAAGACCGATGAAAGACTTAGATTCTGGCCATGAATCTGTTCAGTCCATCCCAGAAGGCAAGACTGAAACAATACCAAGTTCTCATCAGCCAGGTAGAGTCAACTGGACACGTATTTTCCTCCTTGAACAAATGAATGTTAATACAATCCAATTAAATATCCTTTTCCATTCTCCTTTCAGCTACTCAGACTCAGCCAGAGAAGCACCAGACYCCAACTATTGCAATGAAGTATGTTGATGGCCCCACAGAAGCACAGAACAGCCTCAAAAGAAGAAATCCAGTGAAAGCTGGAGATTTAACAGGTGATTTTTTTAGTTACCATTTCACAAAGACAACAGAACTGGGAAGTAACTGAGGTTTAATCTTGCAAGTTATATATATATATTCTGAGTAACCATTTTTTTATACTCAAACCAGAAATTCATGCCAACATGTACACATTACCCTTCTGCACACTCTTTAGGGCCAGACAAATCTCACCTTTGCAGCAATCCCAGTTGTTTTTGCACAAAGGAGAGAGAAGCTGGCAGAGCTGCCAGACACCAGAGCCCTTCTGGCAGTGCAAACAGAATGGATAAACTTTAGCCAGCTCTTCACAGGGACAGACCCATGGACTGTTCATGTACAAATCTTTTCCTATAAAAGATGTGGTTATGGGGGAGCCTTTTGGACTCGAGAGGGACCTCAGTCCTCAGGCCAGGCTGCTGCAGGACTCAGAAGGGTTTATTGCTGTGCTCGTGTGCTGTGACCAAAGTTCATTCTCCTGTGAAGCAGCTGACACTGAGAGATAACAGATTTGATGCCATAACAACCTAATCTAATGCAGCCAGTCTCGTAGTTCTACTTACATGTTTTGTGGATTTTATACAGACTAAATATGTTGTCGCTAATTACTAGAAAATATTTTACTGGCTCTCCTCCCACCTGCTTAAATGTGGTAGTGAATCTGGTATGTGGTGTGCTGACAAACAGAAACCTCTCTGGTCCTGAAAAACTCACACTGCAGGAGTGTTTCCTTTCAGGCAAAACTTGTGATTCCAAAAGTGATGGGAGTCTCCATGGCAACCAGCATGCAGATGATGGTCCCCGTCCTCCAAACCAGGCAAGAGTCAAACCTGCAGCTGAAGAGCCACAGAATAGAAATGTTCGCTCTAATTTTTGCACTTTACTCTAAGTTTCTTACTTTTACATGAAACAGAGACATTTTATCATGATTTTGTGCATTTTGCTGTTATGGGACTGATTTTGTATATGAGTACCACATGATTTTGTAAAAAAAAAAACAAAGAAAAATGACATTTCATCACAGTTTTCAGTAAAAATAAAACAGTGGAGGAAATTTTTTTTAATCAATCGACATGGGCCATGTAATACTGCCAGCAGAGAAAGAAACCCTTGCAAGATGCTTTGAAGATGCATTTTTCAGCCTGTGCCACATCTTTGAATATCCCTATATAAAAATCATGTGTTGGTATCTGATGCAGCAATCGAGAAAGAGGTGACTCATCCAGCTAGAAATATTCCTACTCAAATGAGCACTTGCCATAAAAGAAACATTCCCTGAAGTGACCATCTGTCTGGCTCCAGCACAGCCAACAACTTCCCCATGTAGGATTAGCAGAGTTTAATCTACATTTTAACTGCAATAACAGCCTAATCTCTAGGCAGGTCTTTTGTTGGGTAAAGGCATTCTGAAGTAGAGGTGCAGAATAGGTCTAAAACAACCTGTATTTTTGCATCCTGAAGAGAAAAAAATGTGGACTTGATAGCACCCAACAGTAAAACAAAAGCATCTGTGATCTCTGAACGAGGCATAGACTCAGTGCATGGAATGACATGGAAATGGTGGAGTTASAAAGCCTTGGATTTAACACAAACCAAAGCACTGTTTGAGGCCTACAACTTATTCGAGACCTGCAAATGACTTTCAAGTTTATTTCTTACCCAGCTAAACAAAAAACAATGCTTCAGGACTGCAGCAGACYGTCAGTGTTGGATTAATGTTCCTAACATCATTGGAAAAAACTTCATTAGTGATCAACATCACTTACCTGGTGCCAGAGGCTGCTCAGCTGAATTACTTCCATGCTGATATATTCTTAGATTATGCCTGATCAGAAATGGCAGAGAAAAATTGAAGTTCATCTGTCAGGGATTTCAGGCAGAAGAGCAAAAATACAATGGATATAAAGGTTGTAGACAATTTGGTGCATCATAAATTGTGCTCCCCCTCCTATAAATGGAGCTGGGAGTAGGTGTATGGCTTTAACAGGAGATGTTCCCTGCACACTGATTTATTACCTTTGGGTCTGGATTCATCAGCTGAGGATGCAAGCATGAGACCAATGTGAACTTGAGCAAGAACTCACTGGAGAAAGTGATAATGTTACTCCTCTAACAGTCTGGAGTATCACATTTCCACCTCTGTGCCTGCAGCAAGACCGAGGCTCTTGAAACACCAGACAGAGAGCTAAGACTGATGAAAGGCATCTCCTCCTCTTTATAGAATAACCAGATGAAATTTCACCTGGTTAGATTTTTTTTTTTCTCAGATCTCTGAGACAGGAGCTCCATAGCCCAGGAGCTCGGCAGCTCTGTCTAATAAGCAATTAGTGCAATTAAACCGGCAGAGGAGGATCCATTGAGTGAAACCCCTGGTGCTGCTGTGCACACTAGAGTTGTCCCAGGGGGTTTGCCAGGTGTGATTCCATGCCATGAATGCCTGTCAGCTTCTGGAGCACCTTAGAAAAAAATCCTCTTGGTTTCATCCAGAAGAGATCCATTCATGTGCTGTGAGASCACTCCACTGTGTGAAACAAAGCACAGTGAGTGGGTTTGAGCAGGAAATTCACCCAGGAGTGTACTCCTGGCTCATTGAAATGCTCTTATAAACACACCTTGTAACAGGAGGGCTTTCCAYGTTCAGCTGAGCATCACTGTTCAGGGAGAGGGCAATTTTATGAATGGGAAGCTTTTTTAATTTATTTGGATTTTGTTATCCAGGCATGGTTCATTATTTTGGCAAGGGAGAGATCTGTATGTTGATGCTGCCTCTAAGGGTTATAATCGTTAATGGGTGTCAAGATTCCCAGCACTGGACTCTGTGCTACTCTCACACTCACAACATCTAAATGTCACCTTCACCCTCCCATGGTCCCAGTGCTCATGGCTTTGTGCTTCTGCAGTTCAACCCTAGCTTTGCACAGATTTTCCTGAAGAGTGGAATACCCACTTTCATACCCACTTTCTCTCTCACTGGCAATGACAGAAATGTGAAGYAACAGTTAAATCAGCACTATCCCACYGACTGGAGTCAGGAATCAACTCTGYCAGGACTTCTTTTGTCTCCAGCCYTGAGATGTGTTTCAGTACTCTTGGCTGGTCGTGTGATGGAGAAGAGAACACATCATTGACAAACGATGGAGGACTCTGTCATTGCTGGCACTTGCTGTGGAGACACAAAGCCCCTTTAGGGTCAAGCACAAGTGTGACACAGAGGTTAAACCATGCCAGTGGCCAGTGGGAGAGCAGCAGGGGAGCTCCTGCTGTCTCTGCTGCTCTTGCAGTCTGCACCTGCACGGCTGAACACCACTGACCCCTTCTCTGGAAAAAGGAATTTTCAGTTGGAAATTGTCCAATCAGCCTGGCCATCAGTGACTAGGGCCTGGTATATATTCTGGGGTTTAATACAGATACATTACAGAGTAGAAGCCTAGAGCTCCTCTGAAGTTGTGTGGATCATCTTGGGAAGAAGAAAGAAAAGAACCGTGGCTAAATTGCTGCCAGCATCTCTCTGTCCTTTAACTCTTGCTTTGCTTAAACCTGCTCTTCCTGCACTGAACAAGCTATGGATGTTTAATATTGCAATGTTTTAATTGCCAGTAAGTGCTCCATGGTCAGTTACCTCATGCTGTACTGTGGTAAAAATGATGTGCTCAGTGGTTTCTCTGTGGCATCTGCTGCAATCTGGTTCTCCTGGAGAGGCAGAGCTGGGTCAAATCTGCACAACTGCTTCTAAAAATTAATGTGCCYGTGCATCATCATGTGTTCTTAAATCTGTAGGCACTGCTAAAGACTGCAAAAATATAATTMAAAAATAAATATTTTCATTAATATACCAATTGCCACTTGTCAATGACTRCTTTGATTCCTGTCCCTCCTTTTGCTTCCACCTCTTCTGTTCTCTTTTTCCCAAAGGTCTGCAAAAGTGTGCAGTCTTTGTGTCAGTCACATACCTACAGTGAATTGACACAAAAAGGGTGTGAGAAGAGAATTCCCACTGCTGTTTCATGGAAAATGAGGCTTAGAAAAATTTAAAATTGAGACTTCTGAAAGCTTTTGAAAGCATATGGATTCCCAAGTCCCATTAAATCTGGTGTTAAAATATTAACTATAAAATCTTGGGTATCTTAAAGGTCCAGGGCCAGATTTTGCAAAGTTTGTTGTTCCTTTGCTAGGTGAAACCAACTGGGTTTAGGTGCTTAACTGAACACACATGCAGTGTTTAGTTCCCAACAATGATGCTTTCCTTAAAACATTAAAAAAGCACTTCCCTGTAAAGTCTTCTAAAATGGGCTGTTTAGTAAACTTTACAAACTGGAACCTCATTTCCTCCAAGTCATTAATTCATTACTTCTGACATTATAATGCACCTCTGCATGGGTCCAAGCTGAACATAAAAATACACAACAATGGGAAGTGCAATTGAAATTATTATTTCAACAATAAGAATATATCAGAAATGTACTTGAATATAAAAAAAAGGAACACAGATTTTCATACAAATATACAACATTGTGGAAAATCCAGAGGGGAAGTTTTTTTCCTAACAAGTCTCTMCTTTCACCTTAGAAAATTCAAGAGTTTAAGAGCAGACAATGAGATTAAAAATCTTCCTYAAAGTTATCTGTACAAACATCTACTATTTATGCATTCTCTATACAGTGTTCAATCATCAGTGCTTCCTGTACATAAAGCAATAGCAATGTGCAGTATTTTGATTCCATAAATAATTGTAATCAAAATAAACACATGGAACACTATCTTTACTCATATGACTAAATTAACAAGCACTGCTCATTTTTTACAAGCTGTCTGTAGCTCTCTYTCACATTTATTTTGCACCTTCTTGCTGAATTTCTGCTAATGATTTTTGGTCCGAGCTGTGCTGAGAGCTCATTCCCAAAAAAATCTGATACTCACAGTTCTTCCTATTCTGACTTTATGTCCAGCCTTTAGCCTCCAACTGGATGAACACAMCAAGTCAGAAGCAGATTTACAGTCACATTTTCATACCAATAGGTACCTCCTCTGCCTTGAGCTGTTAGAGGTGAGCCCCAGACAGACATAAACTCCTCGCCAAGCTTTGCAGAAATTCAGGGCAACATTAACTGACTCTGCAACACCTCCTTGACTTTGCTGTTTTAGTACTGGGAAGTTTGAAAGKTTTACCTACAGAGAAAACCTCACAGGCTCTTTGATAATTCTTATTTTGCCATTTGCATCAAATACCTCTCTGCCAAGGGAATCAGCAAACACAAGAGGTGACAGAGTTTCTGTTTTTTGTGACCAACGCATCAAACCCAGTTCAACACCATCAGTCCTGAGGTGAGGGGTCCTTGAGACACAGTGCACAAAGCACTTTGGAGGTACCTTTGCTTTGTTGGGGTCATCACAGTGTCTGGGCTTCCAGCTGGCTTTGTTGTGGCTTCCATTTCCRTGCTGAACATTGGGCCAGTGACCCGAGACACGGCTGGGTGATGCTCTGTGGGCATCCTGCCAAAGCATTTTGCAGGAGAGGAACCTGACACGCAGCTGTCATTTAAGGCCAATTTATCTCGGGAATCAATGGGCCTTTAAAAATTCACCAGCTCACATATCCTTTTCAGCGATGGTCATCAGATGTTTTGTGCTCTGATTTTGTGGGCTTTTGTGAGCAGCTGGCTTTTCAGCAAATGATGACATATCCACYGGTAAGAGGAAACTCACAGCCTTTACTTTACCCCTGGAGAAAAAATGAGAGAGAATTATGAGGATTACAAATGTATAAAACACACAGAGAAAGTTAAAAAAAACCAAAACCAACCCCATCCCAACCCAGCAAGCACAAAGTAAATGCTTTCAAGCTTTGCACGCTACTGGAAGCAGGATTTCATGCCAGTCACAAGGTCATCCCAAAGGACCAAGCRTGGTCCTGTCTGCTGGAAGCATCTGCCTTTTTCTATCGAGTCCCACATCTCTGTCACTGCCTGACCTGTGTGCACAAAGCTACGTGTGCACAGAATCCTCAGGGGGCACATGCACCCACTGAGACCCTTTGGTAATTTYAGTATAATAGCCCTGAAAAGAGTTCTCAGCCTCTCTTATCCTGGATTTAAATATTTAATGGTCTTTTTTCATTTACCAAACACAGTGGGAATCCCTTGGTGGAAATAATGCTCTAGCCTATATGAATTAAAATATTTTAGACATACAAATTAGAGATGATTTGTTTTCAGTGCTGTTCTTTTATTACTTGAATGCAACTGCACTGTATATAAATTCAAGGTGATACTTCTACAGAGTTAATTTAAAAGCAAAAATATTCATATCACATACAGGATTATAGCTTTGGAGTAAAATGTGAGGAAGCTACAGTAAACAAAGAATAAGAAAACCTGACAGGAACCAGCATGCTGGGAAACAAAAATGTCATCCCTGTAAAAAATTAAGCTTAATAAGCTGGCTGAACTAATTGCTGGAAATGATCTTACTAGCAAACAGCTAAGATTGGTGTCTGTGTCAGACATTTGGGTGTATAATGGRAGCATCCACCATCAGGACCATAAAAGATAATACATACTTTTTTTGTGTAACAAACAAAAAGCTTCGTGCTTCAGGATATCCACCAGCCTACCAAGGGGGATGGATGAAAAGCTCTTTCCACAGCAGTTCTCCTCCCAGAGCAGCCAGCAGTGAGTGCACATGAGTCACTGTTCATCTTGATGAGGCAGCTCCAATGACAGCGATAAAATCATCGGCGCTGCGGTTCGGCCACGGGGCACCCTCAGTCCCCGGGCGCTCGATGGAACAGATCTGTGCTGCTATTCTGATTGCTTTGGAAGCTCTTTCCCCTTAGGAAAGCAGCAGGCTTTGCCATTGCCACCCCGCTCCTGCACGCTGCCCTGTGCTCCTGCCACGCACACCTTGCACGTGTGAGCTCCAGGGCAAACCCACAGAGTCTTGGCTTTCCCTGGGCCCAGTGGAGCGTGCACAGAAATCCTGAGCTACAGGGTCAGGGTGCTTTGGAAAACGATATGAGTTCCCTGCCAGTGACTAAATTTAGGTGTCTAACTGCTGTAAAACATCTGACCCTGAAATGTCCTGACAGGAGCACCCAGGTGCCTCTGAAAGCTCAGCCTTTACCCCTGCAGTCGCTCAGGGAGGAGCTGGGCTCTGCACCGGGACTGCAGGGGGCTGGGCACTGCTCTGCTCTGAGGATTTAKAGAAAARAATAAAAGCTGTCGTGATGTGCCAYGCACAGGTACCCCCACAGAGGTGACACAACCCATAGCAGCTGTCAGCCCCCGGGGTGGCCACTGAGTCCTGCCCAGTACATGCACAGACAGGCAGAGCCATGGACTTCTCCCTGCTCAAACACGTGCTTTGAGGTCATTTGGGTTATTTTCCTTTGGAGCACAGCATGACTGGGCTAAACCCAGGAATCAGCATGAATTACCAGAGTGGAAGTATCAGCAACAGGATGTGGCTGGGCTGTCATTTATTGCAGTCTCATTACTGCTGGTTCTACCTGTGCTTGTTGTCCTGTGTGTGTTGTCCTGTGTTCTACCTGTGCTTGTTGTCCTGTGTTGGAAATCTTCTCATCAATGAGCAGAGACACTCAGGGCTGGCCCAGCAGTCATTTCACTTAATTTAGGAACTGTTCTGGGACTACTTTTCTCAAGGCTGARAGCATTAACTTGTAATGCTTCAGTTACAGGGGAAATATGATACAGTACATCCGAACCCATGAGCCACAGGAATCACGCTCCTAAYGGCACAGTTCAGAGTTCCTCGGTATTTCCATGTTTTCTGTTCAAAGTTTAAAAATCCCTTTCAAGCTTAGCTTGTCAGAACATCACATCAATCTGCAAAACCCTGCCTGGCTCTAACAGAGCAAAGATTCCAACAGCCCCTTCCTCTGTACCTCAGCCTCTCCTTTCTATAGCACRTTGAACCTGCTAAACCTCATGTATTGCAGGGAGAGGGAGAGCATCCCAAAAGAGATCTCCATCCTGCTCACTGCCCATACACATTCAAACAACAATTTTGCTGRTAACTCCATAAAATCCATAGCAAAATCTGTACATCTTATTAGGTGAAACCCATGAGCAGCCTGGGCAGGTGATGCTGTGAAGGCAAATCAAACCTACCTGCACTTGCAGATGCGCTCCTGGAACAGCTCCGTGCCGCCAGAGGGGCTGTAGGAGACACAGCTGGATGGAGATTTTCCAAGGCMTTTCTCCTCTTCCCTGCTGAGCTGTGCTTGGGGCTGGGCAGTGCCTGGCACCTCTGGGTGCCCATTGCTCAGAGCTTTCCTGCCAGCCCAGTGGGACCTGGTGCTGCAGGGAGCAGGAGCTGGGCACACGGTGGGGTAGCGTCTCACGGTCATGGCAGCATCTGAGAAGGAAGGGAAAACATGCAGAGCTAGAAACAACACTAATCCTACTAATAATGATAATTAGGATATTCTCAATGTGTTTTTGGAGAGTGACTTTTACATGGGCAAATAGTGATACAACAAGGCGGAACAGTTTTAAACTAAAAGAGGAGATTACACTTTAGGAGGAAATTCTTTATGGTGATGGTGGAGAGACACTGGGACAGGTTGTCAAGAGAAGTTGTGGATGCCCCATCCCTGGAAATATTCAAGGCCAGGATGGATGAGTTTGAGCAACCTGGTCTRGTGGAAGGTGTCCCTGTCCAAGGCAGGGGTGCTTGAAATAGATGTTTAAGGTCCCTTCCAACCCCAATTAATCTGCCATTCTATATTTAATCACTTTTTGGGGCTCAAAAAYATTTTGATATGAGGTGAAGCCGAGCAGCAGAGGAGGCCAGAAAACCCTTTTAGGTACCACCCTTTCCCCTAGAAGGCAGCTGGAGAGGAAGAGTCGCAGGGTTAGGAAGCACTTTGTACAGCTTTCCCCCTTGCCAAAAGACCAGGGAGATATTCCCAAGCTGACAACACCCACAGGCACCACAGCCCCTGTGTGAGGCCTTCAGTCTGGCACCCTGGCCTGGGTCAGTGGGGTTGGCATCAGGCATTATTCCTTCACACAGATGTGTTCCCAGGACAGCTTGAGGGGCCGTTTCTCCAATAATTCTCACCAAGCTACATTTTGCTCTAATGCCTGCTTCATTCAATCCCCCAGAAGTCCCAACCAGACTTCTATAACTGAGGAATATTTCCACTTATCTCCTCTGATAAAATTGTGAAAAAAATGCATTCCATTCCAGATATTGATCCCTCTCTGCCTCAGCAGGAGCTAACTGTGTTTTCAGCAAAAATAAACCGCACATCTGGCGTGATGCATGCAGCCAACCCATCATTATTTGTTATTATTTGTGGCRTTTTTCACATCTTTTACTAAGGCGAGATGGGTTATGGCATTTTTACARCTGTTGGCACATTTTTGCTTGGAACAGAGTGGAAAGGCACGTGAAAGAGGGTCCATGCCTGTGAAAATCAAAGCAGTAAATCAAATTCTGCCTAAGCAAACAGAACTCTGACTTGAATCCTTTGTTTGAGCAGTGGCAGAATACTCCACTAAGTTCAGCCGGGGGGATGCACCCTCAAAAACCCAGAGCAAAACAGCGATGGTGGGGAGCACAGAATGAGGCCGGGAATGCAGAATTACCCAGCCAGCGAGCGGCTCATGCCCATTCCCTGCGGGCAGGGATGGCACATCCTGCACGGACAGCCCCGGACAGCCCCGGACAGCCGCAGCCATCGGTACCTGTCAGCTCCCCGTGCTCCGGAGCGGCCGCGGTCCATCCCGGAGGGGATGTCGGAGATGCCGG